AGGTCACGTTTGGCACTTGAAACGCGAGGTTCGCATTTTGGTTTGGCAACATGAGGGTCGCGTTCTTCATTGTCGACGTGAGGGTCGTGTTTTGACTAGGAAACACGAAGTTGAAGTTCGTGTTAAACGAAGTCTTGAGGTCCGTGTTTTGGCCATAAAACACGCCATTGAGGGCCACGTTTAGTCTGGTTCTCGTGAAGCTCATGTTTGGGCTCATAAACATAAGGCTTGCATTCTAAAGTAGAAACACGAAGCTCAGGGTCACGTTTAGGCTCACGAACGCGAAACTCGTGTTGGTTGGGGATCAACTTTCTTGGAGTTGTGCCGAAGCTAAGTCTTCTCCTTCAGAGAGGGGACTGTATGAACAGTGCAACCCCCAGGAGAGACAACCCTTTGATGAGTCGGCCACAACTGGAGTTTTAGTCTCCTTAGAAACTTTGTGGATCTTACGCATAGCCTTGGGGCTAAGGGGAAGGAGATAGCCTCCTCAAACTTGGCTTGATCAAACTCTACCACGAGAGTTTCGACGGTTGTTCTAGTGAGATGAACATCGAATTACGCCACCACTTCTTCATCAGAGAAGCTAGTCCCCAGTGGAGTCGCCATCTTTTATTTGTGGAAATTTTGTAGTAAAAGAAATGAAAGAAAATTTTGATTTGTATTCCTTTGACCTCAATTACAATTGGATTTTCTGATTACAAAAGAGAGGAGAATTAATCTGGATTCTCCCCTTTGTTTAATTTTGGGTTCTTCACAGTGGCGATGGAGTACCTCCCTCAAATGCTCGCGTCGAGTTTGCTCTCCGTTGACGATCCTACGTTTTGCTTCACTGGAACGATGTCTTCTCCTCACGGTTTGACGCTGTGGAGAACTTGCAAAGCAAGTTTTAGAACTCTGAACGAGTTTAGAAGAACTCTGTAAAAGAGTTAATTTGAACCAAAAATCGGTTAGTAAGCCAAGGCCAGAAGAAAGCTCCGGTGGTCGAACTCCAGATCCGAGAATGCTCCAAAGATCCTCTCTTTGCTGCTAAGCTCCAAGGTCAATCCGAGCCAAGAAGTTCCAACCTTTAACTCAGTTGAGTTTCTTCTTATTTATAGGGGATTAAGAGGGTGTAACCGTCCCTTAAATCACTCCTAAGTGGGGTGTAACCGCCTCCAAATTGTGGGAAATAGTTTTGGAACTGTTTAAGAGTTTAAGGGGTGCAATCCCCCCTAAAATCTCTCCATAATGGGGAGTAACCGACCCCATTAAGTAGAGATACAATTTTAAAACCGTATACGTTCTGTTTGAACCAGTCAAACACAAAAAACGCAGGTCTGACCCCCGCATTTTGATGTTGCAACGCAGGTCCAACTCTGGCGTTTTGATGTTGACACGCGGGGAGGACCTCCGTGTTTTGGTGTTACAACACAGGTCCAACTCCGGCGTTTTGATGTTGACACGCGGGGAGGACCTCCGCGTTTTGGTGTTGACACACGGGGAGGACCTCCGTGTTTTGTTCTGGGAGTTTGGAACGTGGCCACGAGCTATGCGTTTTGAATCTGGGACGTATAGGTGAGCTCTGCGTCTGAATTTGAAGAGACCGTCGATTTGTAGTCTCTTTTGCTAGAGCGTTGCAAAGATCACCATCTTGTAATCTTCATCTTGGCTCCTTGAAAATATGAGAGTCGTTAAATTATAACTCCTGATGTTGATTGTGAAGGCTATTGATTAGAGCTTTCATCGGTTATCGTGAAGGTCGTCAGATTGTAACCTTCATCGATCTACGTGAAAATCTTCAAATTATAACTTTCTGGAAGTCGTCAGATTGTAACCTCCATCATCGATGTTTGATGGGGGATCAGCTATCTATTGTGATTTTTAGACAGCCTATACTCCTGTGGATGATTCATCTCAAAAAAGACCTCCTATGGATCAAGTGGATACATGGTAACTATCTGAAAAATCAAAGCATATGGGCAGTTCAATCAAAGGCTAATGATTCGTGGATGTGGAGGCAGCTCCTTAAAGTGAGAGACATGTTACTGAATAAGTTTGGTAATGCTGATAATACAAAGAATATGTTAACTTAATGTTGCATTGGTGATAAGCTTCAGTTGTCTTCAGTATATAAGACACTTGTGCAGCCTGCAAATGAAGTTGCCTGGGCAAAAACTGTTTGGGATGGCTTCCTATATCCTAAGCACTCTTTTCTATTATGGCTAACTTGTCATGCAAGACTTCTCACCAAGGATAGATTGTGCCGAATGGGTATTTTGAGCACAAATCAGATTCAATGTGTTTTATGTAATGGTCATCAGTTGGAGACAAGGGACCATGTTTTTTTGAGTGCCAATTTTCAGCTAAAATCCGGAATATGCTAATGGACTGGTTGAGATATAGATAGAGGTCTTGTGTTTGGAGATTGATCTTGAACTGGTACTCTCATAATTTGAGAGGTCAAGGCCCTATGCAGAAATTGAAAAGGATGTGTCTCTCCATTGCAGTTTATATGATTTGGAAAGAGAGGAATCAGAGAATTTTTCATACTAAAGAAAGACAACATGTTCAGATTTTTAGAGACATCAAATTTGCAGTTTTTTCAAAGGTTCAAAATGAGGATATACATGTACATATGAGAGAGATACTTGAGAGCTTGTAATCTTCTTTTTGAGTTTCCAGGTTTCCTGGTTCTTTGATGTTCTTCAAAATGTTTCAATTTGGGAAATGAATAAAATTTAAGTTCATTGACCAAAAAAAAAATGAAAATGTATGATTTTATTGCAATTATTATATTACTTTAATTTAATTAATTGGGGGTATTGTAATTATGACATTAATATTGAGCATATATGTGTGCTCATGCATATATGTATGTCATCACCGAGACATACAAAATTACATGGGATGTATGTGTGTTTATTTCCTATTCACTCATTTCAATTCCCAACCACTCCCCCAACCCATGTGAATGTGTGACTTAATTTTAATGAGTGGTGGGGAATATGCCACATCATTACCAAGCACAAAAACTTATGCTTGGTACCAAGCATACTCATTTCTACCAAGCATACACATTTTTCACATATGAGAGAAATGAGTATGCTTGGTACCATGCACAAGCTTTTGTTCTTGGTAGTGAGGTGAGATATTTTTCGAGCAGAGCTTTGCTACGGGGACCCAAAATATGGGACCAATAGAGGGGACAAGTGAGGTGTCCCCCTCCTATTGGATAATGAGTTGGCTATCATTAATGATAACCAACTCATTATCCAATAGGAGGGGGACACCTCACTTGTCCCCTTTATTGGTCCCATATTTTGGGTCCCT